GAGCATCGACTTAATGAACCCGAAGTCACAGTTCAATTCCTGGTCAGGGCACATGCTGGGGTTACAGTCTTGATATCCGCAGTGGGGGGCATGCAGGAGGCAGCCGATCAATGATTCTCTCTCATGATTGATTTTTACATCTCTCCCTCCCTTCCTCTCTGAAATCAATAAAAATGTTTTTTAAAAAGTTTAAAAAGAAGTAAAAAATAAATACCTAATATTTTCTCTTATTATTTATTGCCTATTTTGTTTCTCCTATACCTCTCCTATAGGCTCCATGAAGACAGTGAATTTGGGGAGAGATGGGGGGGGGCGGCTATTTTATTCATAGCTAATATCTCAAGTACCTAGGACAATGCCTAGTATATCAGTAGGTACTCAGTAAATAGTATGTGTGTGGGGGGTGTGTGTGTGTGTGTGTGTGTGTGTGTGTGTGTATTTATTTATTTATTTATTTATTTCACAGAGAGAGGGCTAGAAGCACCAGTGATGAGAGAGAATCATTGATCAGCTGCCTTCTGCATGCCCCATACTGGGAATCAAATCCATAATGAGTATGTGCCCGACTGGCAATTGAACCGTGACCTCCTGGTTCATAGGTCGATGCTTAACCACTGAGCCATGCCGGCCAGGCCTCAGTAAATATCTGGCAAAGTTTTACATTAAAAGTATTTAGTACCTAAGATAACACAAAGAAATGTAATTATCAATAAAATCGATTTTAATTAATGGCCCAGAATTTTTTAAAGTGTGCTGAACTTAGAAATGTTTATTCATAAGAGGTATTAACTTCTAAGAAATCCTGCCTTTGTTAAGAAAATGCAGAGCTCTGAATGGCAGTCTTCTTTCTAACTGTGTTTCCAGTTTAGGCAGAACCTACTGAGTTGGGTGTAAATGAAGAAAAATGTACATTTTTCCCTCCTTTCATAGCTCTTGGCACTTTGGTTTGTGATATTATGTCTTAAATCAACAAAGCTTGTAACTTAAATTTTATACTGTCTCTGTAATTGCCATACTTGGTTAATCTTAGTTCTATACTGAAATGGATCCCTAGTTATCACTAGTGTTGTCATTCTATCTCCCTTCCTGGATTGTTGTTTTAAAAAAGTTTATTTTTATTGATCTCAGAGAGGAAGGTGGGAGGAGGAGGAGGAGGAGGAGAGAGAGAAAGAGAGACATATCAATAATGAGAGAGAATCTTGGCCGGCTGCCTCCTGCATGCCCCACCCTGGGGGTCGAGCCTATAACCTAGGTGCCTACAACCTAGGCATGTTGACAGGGAATTGAACCATGACCTGATTCACAGGTTGACACTCACCCACTGAGCCACGCCAGCTGGGCTCTGGGTCGCTCTTGGTTTATTTCTACATTGGCTGGATTTGGTCATATGTGTGCACATGTGCATGTGTGTTTTAACTTTTCTCATCAAGTTCTTACATATGTTTGTGTAGATCTGTTTGCCTCTTCCCTTAAAACGTATCTGTGCAGTTTTGACACATGCTTTAAGAAATGTACACATGTCTGACCTATTGACCCAGGTGGTAATGTTGGTACATTTTTTATGTAGTTCTAAATGGAGCCCCTGGATTTATAAACTTGTGTGATGCTTTGAATGCCTGGCAGCTGGTGAAGGAACTCAAAGAAGCCTTAGGCGTTCCAGCTGCTGCCTCTTTCAAGCATGTCAGCCCAGCAGGTAAAGCTCTGCATGCGGGAACTGTTCCACATGCGCTTCTTTCTCGTTGTAATAAGAACTGGTGAGTTCCTGTGGGAATGTAGACATTCTGTGAAGTCTGAAGCCTTTTCTTTTTCTCAAGCCCGTTAACACTTTCAATATAGTAACATCATAAAATCTGATAATAAAATAGCATACAAAAATATATACAAACATACATCATTGTGAGATGGGAAGATTAGGAACTAGTTGTTTTGGTAGTGGGAACATGAAGTTTTAAAAAAGAAAAAAGTAAAATGACTTAATGCAGTGTGACTGAATAGTTTCCCACATGTTGGAAGATGGAACTGAGTGGCCTAAAGAAGTTATTCTTAGGACACTTTATCTGTAACGTTATAGCCATTGTGTGAGATACTTTTCTGCTTTTTTACACTTAAGTCACCATCACCAGATCTGTTGACAGCCCGACACATAAATTCATCCTCCGATGGTGATTCAATGTTAGAGTGACGTGAGCCGGAAAGAAGCGAACGTCATATGGTATGAAGCAGGATGGAGAGAGTCAGCAATGAAGTAAACCAGCTTCATACACATGCCTGGTGCTGGCCAACTTCAGACACGTGGCTCTGTTGTCAGAGGCTAGAGAGGGGAGATTCTCTCCTCACCTCCCCTAGGACTCTATTCTTTATTTTTAATTATCTGGCCAAACAGATTTTTGTGTAATTTGGCACAGGTGCTAGAAAGTACGCTGTGTAGACAATGTTAAGAAAAAATGTTGTCTTCATTTACAAGTTGGCAAGTAATAACGAAGTTTTTGGCTTATTTTACGGTTTTCTCTCTCAGGTGCTGCTGTCGGAGTTCCCCTTAGTGAAGATGAGGCCAAAGTGTGCATGGTCTATGACATGTATAAAACCCTCACACCCATAGCCACCGCCTATGCACGAGCAAGAGGTCAGAAGAATAACGGGGGTTTTGTGGTGTTTTGGTTTGTTTTGTGTTTTTTAACAGAAAAAGCAATATTTTTATCCGAAATAGAATAAAATAGTAACAACTCTTTTTATTATAAGATTTTAAATTATCTTTGTTTTTTATTTATACTTCTGAGTGATTGTATGAGTGCCTCGGAATAAATTTGTTTATAAAAGTGTGTTAGCATTTTAATGTAATAAATGGAAACATAATTGGAATCTGATGCATGTAATTTCAGATTAGGCTGTTGAATGCATTTGAATTGCTTAATATATGACTAAAATCGCATGGTTATTTCAGCTATACTGAATTTGGTTAGAATTATGTTTCATACATATTTAATTTGTGAGTTTAATAACCTGTGAATGTTGTTATAATATTTATGGGAGATTACCAAGAAACCTGATGTTATCGTTTACCTTCTATAACAGGGGTTAGCCAACTATGGCTCACGGACAGGATCTAGCCCGCCACCTGTTTTTTGTAAATGGTTTGATTGGAACAGGGCCACGTCCCTTTGTCGATGTTGTGTCAATGGCTGGTTAGAACTACATAGTTCAGTGGTCACATGAGAAACCATGTGGCCACAAAGCTTTAAAAAACACTATCATAATTTTTATTTTCAGGGGCCGATAGGATGTCTTCATTTGGTGACTTTGTTGCCTTATCGGATATATGTGATGTCCCTACTGCCAAAATTATCTCCAGAGAGGTTAGTGAGCATTCGTGTATCCTGATCCATGCATGACTGAGTCAAGCTTTTATTTGTTCAGGGTTTACTGCAACATTAACTTTTAATAGTTATATTTATAACTATAAATTAATTTATCATTTAGAATGTTCATATTTTATGTAGAACACAAATCTTGACTGAATTATAATTTCTAAATTTAGTGAATTAATGTTTCAAATACATATTTGGCTGTTAAGTTTTAATTAACTTATTCAGTTTTTTAAAATTTTCTAATAGTTGTTATCTTAATTCCAAAGTTATTTTTTCTGAAGAGCAGAGGATGCCATCTTGGGTGGTGATGCAATAATGAACTTTACTGTAAAGCTCCATGAGTCTGTAACAAAAGAGATTGTATAATGGGAAAGATTATAAACTACTCTGAGAAGCTAATCTGAGTACCAAACAAATATTCCAGAAAAGTGAGGGTGGCACTGGGAATGAGGACACAGACAAAAAAAAAGATAGCTCAAATAGCTTAAAGTGGGAGTGCGGGGGAAAAAGGCAGAAGTGAAGGCTAAAGAGACATGTGGCTTGACAATATTCATGGGATTCTTTCCATGACCACTGTCATCTCCAACCAGAACATGCTCTTCTAATGCAAAACACCACCCCATCAGCAGAATAGTAAGAAATCGTTTTTTCTTCCTAAGGGTATTAGAGCCAATCATTCACATATTAGTTAAAATGGAAATAACAACCAAAAACTTTGAAAGGACAGCAGATGAGATGAGTTCAGCTATAGAACATTATGTTCTAACATAGGCTTATCTTTCCCAATCTAGTACAGTAAGTATGTCCTCACTTAAGGTTGTAGATAGGCCGAAACCGGTTTGGCTCAGGGGATAAAGCACCGGCCTGCGGACTGAAAGGTCCTGGGTTCGATTCCGGTCAAGGGCATGTGCCTGGGTTGCGGGCACATCCCCGGTGGGAGTTGTGCAGGAGGCAGCTGATGGATGTTTCTCTCTCATCATCGATGTTTCTAACTCTCTATCTCTCTCTCCCTTCCTCTCTGTAAAAAATCAATAAAATATATTAAAAAAAAATAAAAAAAAAAAAAAAAAGGTTGTAGATAGGTTCTGTGACTTTAAGCAAAAAGATGAAACCAATTAATGATTTAAATGCAATTAAGTTCCTCTGGCATCTCATCCACAGAATGACATTATTTGAGGGCCTGCTGGATTTGCATTATCTGTTGGAGGTAGAAACGAGAATATGCAGCAGCATTATTTGATTAGGTGTTTTATAATTTTTTAAAACAGAAAATATTTATTTATAGGTATCTGATGGTATTATTGCCCCAGGATATGAGGAAGAAGCTTTGACAATACTTTCTAAAAAGAAAAATGGGAACTACTGTGTTCTTCAGGTTAGTGAATTTCATGTCTAAAACAATAATTTGCTCTTTCATTTTGTGTCTCTTTCCCCCCACATTTAATTGTCCTTTATGCTGACACTCCTGAATCCTCTCCCCTCCCCCCTTTTTTTAACTATTACTGGGTTTAAGATGAGGGTACCTTCCTTACTCTTAATAATAAATTTCTAAGCGGTTCAAATAGTGTATTTACATGGTTTTCTATTCAAAAGTTATTACAGGCCTTTTGAAGAAAAGTCTCCCAACCTTCCCTCTGCCATGGTTACCTTTTTTTAGGAGCATCTAACATTTAAAATTTCTTGCTGATTTTTCCTGAATTACATGTTTAGCAAAACACAATGCTTCGCCACCTTGGAATTTTGTCCTAGGTCTGTGTGTCATATCTACACAGTTAGCATTCTTTAGCTGCTACACAATCCCTGCAATGAATAACAACCCAGGGAAAGAATCTTAAGAGAGATATTACATAAGTGCTGTAAGTTTGATGCTTCTCTTCCTAGATATTGTAGGAGGAGAATTTTGTCTTAATGAGGATGTGTAAGGTTCCCTATTTCTCAATGCATTGCCACCACTGTGTTCTTAAACTTTTTCTTCTCAGCAGTAAGATAGATGAAAACAGCATCTCACTGCAGTTTTAATTTCTCATTCTGCATGGGGTAAACATCTTTTCACATTTAAGAGTGTTTTTATTTTCTTCTCATGAACTGTCTGCCATACTCTGCTTATTTTTCTAATAGGTTGTTGAGATTTCTTTTCATAATTGATTTTTGTGAGCTCTTAAGTATTAGGGAAACTAGCCCATAGTTTTATTTTACAATGGTAAGGCAAAGAGTTAATTGAATTCAAAGTAAAAATTCATGATGCTGCCGAAACCGGTTTGGCTCAGTGGATAGAGCGTCAGCCTGCGGACTGAGAGGTCCCAGGTTCGATTCCGGTCGGGGGCATGTACCTCGGTTGCGGTCACATCCCCAGTGGGAGATGTGCAGGAGGCAGCTGGTCGATGTTTCTCTCTCATCGATGTTTCTAACTCTCTGTCTCTCTCCTTTCCTCTCTGTAAAAACTCAATAAAATATATTTTAAAAAAAGACCCCCCCACACACACACAAAAAAAAAATTCATGATGCTGTTTTTCAGGAAGTATTGATGTCAGAAAGTCTGTAGAATCTCAACTCCATATGTGGAAGTTGTTAAGTACTTATCCTTCATTGTAAAATGCCAATAATTGTGTCATTCACCATAGATTCCACATCAGCTTTTTAAGGAAAGATACCACTTTAAATATACATACTTTTTTGTCCAAGCTCCTTGATAACCAATTCAACCATTCAGTTAGCTGCCATTGTGTTCTCCAATTTCTAAATCATGTCCTGCATTGTTAATTAAGAGTATTAAGTACACTGGCTATTAGCAGTTATGTGTAGTAACACGGAGAATGTTCTCCAAGCCCTGAGCTCATCCGCATGACCTCTACAGCATCTGATAGTTTCATATTCAAAGGGGTGAAAAGGCTTCTGGAGCTTCCGCAGTACTTTGAGAATTTGCCTGTTTGCATATGGACACATAATGACAGCCATGGAACAATGTGTTTCCTCTACCTGACTAATGACAGGTTTCTTTTGATATCCGCTAATAAGAGGGCACATCCCAATATTAGAAATTGTATAGTACAAAGAAAAAAGGATCATGTTAGAATCCAGGAAAATGCAAATTAAGCATAATTAACAAGAGGATTTGCTTGTAAGTATACATATTAGTGCTTTTTTTTATATATATATCCTCACCCAAGGATATTCTTTCATTGATTTTTAGAGAGAGGGAAAGACAGAGAGACTTGTCAATATGAGATAAACACATGGATTGGCTGCCTCCTACAGGCACCCCAACCAGGGCCCGGGCTGGGGCAGAGCCTGCAACAGAGGTACCTGTCCTTGACTGGAATCAAACCTGCGACTCTTCGGTCCCCAGGCCAACGCTCTATCCACTGAGCCAAACCAACTTAGGGCTACATATTAGTGCTTTTTAAGTAAAAGATTATCCAAAGGATAAGTGAAGAAATACTGTCAAGTTTAGAAAAATATCTATGGACAGACTGGTCTTACACAGATTATTCCCACATTTTATTATCTTTTGCTCAAGATTTAGGAAAGATCAATAAATGACATAGCCCCTTTCAATTAGCAAAGACAGCCGACTATCCGTCCTGTTTTTCCCCTTTTAACTTCTTTTTAACTTACAATTCAAGTGTTGGCTATTTTATAATAGATTTTCAGAAAATTAGAATTTTTTGTGCCACTGCCTGTTAGCAAATTTTGTTTTATCTGCTAATCTTTCCAAAGGGTTGTATAAATAGTGCTTTTAGCTAATGCAATCAAAAATGCACTCACTGGAATTATTGGTTCTGTTATATAAAAATGCAAACCCCCAATACTCTACAGAGTTGTAAAACCTATAAAATTTTTGGCACAAATGACTAGTGCCTGGCCTTTCTTTCATACCTATACTGAAATGATGCTATGTATGTTAAAATAGGAAAAAAACACACATAACCTTGCTTACAAAGAAATCTTTTGGATATAAATGAAATGAAGATTTTTGAGGGATGTAGGTATATTACTTTTAACTCTTCATATTTGTATTCAGATGGACCAATCTTACAATCCAGATGAAAATGAAGTTCGGACTCTCTTTGGTCTTTGTTTAAGCCAGAAGAGAAATAATGGGGTCATCGACAGGTCATTATTTAGCAATGTTGTTACCAAGAATAAAGATGTAAGTATGAAAATATCTGAGCTGAATGTTAGTAATTCTGTAGGTCGTGTTTTAATATTTATAAGCTTATGCATTTATTAAGGCCCATATTTAAAATTGGTTGATATGCAAATGCTTGTGTATCTTTGAGTCATCAGATAAACTTGAGAGCTTAAAAAATGAATAAAAGACCATATTAGAAGCTTCCATGAATATGTACATAGAGATTTGATTTCATTTATACATAAATGGGGTCATGTCTTCTATAATTCTGTTCTGTAACTTGCCTTTTTAAATGCACTAAGCTACAAATGTGTTTCTGTGTCAGTAAACATCTCCACATCTCCATTTGAAAGGCCACAGAGCAATTCATTTATAGACGTACTATGTGGATATTTAGGTGGTTTTCATTTTTAGTGCTGTGATCAGTGTTTTTGTGTAGACAAGTTTTTGTTCTTACACTCTTAGTCATCTTTTAGGAGGACATATTCCTGGGGTGATAATGGTGTGTTTTGTTTTATTTTGTAACTACGTATTCTATCATTGAGTATAATAGCACTCCATGGAGGTGGGGAGGGAGCTACTATCATCTCTATTATAAAGGTCAAAAACTGTGACACAAGACAGTTAAGAAGTTTGCCCAAGGTTACACAGTGAGTGAATAGATGAGCTTTAAATCTCTTAATTGGGCCTCCAGTTTTGAAGGATTTTTTTTGCTGGATCTAATGTTGGCTATACTTTTTTTTCAGTACTTCAGATGTGTCACTCTTATTTTCTGGTCTTGTCTGCCTCTGTGCCTGGCATTTTTGATTGACTGCTGGTTATTGCTTATAATCAGACTATAGAGATATTTTGAGGTTTTGGATGGCTTTATTTTTTCTTCAGAGGGTAGACATGATTCTGGAAGGCAATCAAATGGAAGTAGATCATCTTTATTCTGGCAGGAATGGAACTAATTTGAATTTGGGCTTTAGTTTTTGTAAGGACTGGTCTGTTGATGGTTTACTGCCGGGAGCCGGTCCATCCTTTCAAGGGACCTGGCATATATGGCATACTGTTCTTAAGATGTTTGCTCACCTTCTTGGCGCTGTGTTTTAACCAAGGTCACCTCTCCGAGAAAGGTTGTTTCCCCAGGTAGGGATTTTCCCCTGAAGTTAGGGAGGGAATAAAACCTCTTAACTGCCAGGCGGGTAATTAATCACTTTAACTACGAACAATCATGCAGAACTTAGAAGACAGAACCTAGAACACAGAACCTAGAGACAGAAGAACTTCGCTGGAGAGAACATGGCAAAAGATCCTGGACAGAACCTGGCTACAGAACCTGGCTACCGAACCTGGCTGGAGAACCGAGCGAGAGAACATGGCTACAGAACCTGGCTGGAGAACCTGGAGAACGTGGCTGGAGAACCTAGCAAGAGAACATGGACACAGAACTTGGCTGGAGATTGTGGCTAGAGATCCTGGCAAGGCTGCTGATCAACTGAATGCTGTCTCCATGTCATTCCTTCTTCGCTGACTCCGTCCACACCTTTGGGGACCCCTGGACCTGCTGGGGTTGGACCCTGGCATCTGGCGCCCGAACAGGGACCCTTAGGTAAGCCCCCCCGCACTCGGGACGGATAGGACTCCACCGTAGGAAGAGGGTGGATAGTCTTCGCCAACTCCGTCCACACCTTTGGGGACCCCTGGACCTGCTGAGGCTGGACCCCAGCAGTTTACCACTGTTCTGTGTCTACTAGTACCACCCTTCTCTGATATACACTGAACTCCATTGTTGCCTTTTAGTCCTGTGAGACTCCAAAGCTTGCTTGGCTTATTCACCTCTGAGTTTGTTGCCTGCATCTTGGAAAGTGCCTTGAGGGAAATAGCATAGATGGTCACACTCCTTTCTCCCTCTGTCTCTGAGATTTTGCCTGTCTTTGCTTGCTATTTTACTAGTTCTGTGCTTGGCTTTTCTGTCTGTTCTTAGAAGAGGATTAGTCTCCCACTCACTGTAATAGAAATATGGGGCTATAATCTATTCCCAGATCTGATTCTTGAGACTAAGGAGAATTGCTGAAAATTAGCTTTAAACTCTATTGGGGAAGTTCTGTGAGTAACTATATGGTGATTAAGACATGATCTTTGTTGATTTATTGAGTATTCTTTTTAAAAAATATATATTTATTGATTTCAGAGAGGAATGGAGAGGGGGAGAAATAGAAACATAAAGGATGAGAGAGAATCATCCATCAGCAGCCTCATGCTTGCTTCCTACAGGGAATCGAGCCTGGAACCCAGGCATGTGCCCTTGACCAGAATCTAACCCTAGACTCTTCAGTCTGCAGGCCAATGCTCTATCCACTATACCAAACCAGCTAGTGCTATTCTTTCATTTTTAACTTTGAAAATTAATGGTGCTTTGAAATAAAGTAACTTGTAGGCATTTTGCATACAAATATCTTTCAGCTCTTTCAATTTTTTTCTTGGCCAAGGCTGTGAGGAATTGGAATTTCCACATGGAAACAGTATTTTGCAGCAGTGTAACTTTAAGCAGCTTACAATAAAGTGGGACCCTTTTATTACTTTATTAACCTATTTGGCTAATGTATCTTTAGAAATACAGAAAGGGTATTGACCTAGATTCCTTGGTATCCATGTTGACATTTGTGCCCAACTAAAACTCTGACTTTGTAAAGTTTTTCTTGTAGTTTTATTGGTCTAATTAATTTAGCAGTACTTGATAGGTTTTGTGCCTCTGGTTGTGTTAGCTTGGATGTGTGTGTTTTTATTTACAAAGATGGAGGGTATGATTTTAGTTACTCATTTATCTAAATTCTTCTCTACTTATTTCATCTCCATTTTTAATAGAAACTTGGGAACTTAAGGATGATAATGGTGGTTTTATCCTCCTTTATGTTTCCCTCCCTCTCTTAAAGCAGGTTTTTGTAAACGAAATGGAGGCAAGCAATATGACAGAGAAAGAATTCAGAGTAATGTTTTTAAAGATGCTCAACCATCTGGATGAGAAACTCACTGTCCTATGTAAGAATGACGAGGAAATAAAGAATGATATCATTGCAATAAAGAACACATTGAAAGGTTCCAACAGTAGACCAGTAAAAGCAAAGGACCGAATCAGCAAATTAGAAGACAGGGTAGAAAAAAACACCCAAGCTGAACAGCAATTGGAAAAAAAGCATTAAAAAGCAGGAGGAGAATTTAAGGGAGCTTTGGGACAACATGAAACGAAACAACATACGCATAATCGGGGTACCAGAAGCACAAGAAGAAGACCAAGGAATAGAAAACCTATTTGAAGAAATAATGACAGAAAACTTCCCTCACTTGGGGAAGAAAAAAGTCACACAAGCACAGAGAGTTCCAAACAACATGAAACCAAAAAGACCCACACCAAGTCATATCATAATCACAATGGCAAACATTAATGACAAAGAAAGAATCTTAAGAGCTGCAAGAGAGAGTCAGAAAGTTACCTACAAGGGATCTCCCATTAGACTATCAAATGATTTCTCAACAGAAACATACCTGGCCAGAAGGGAATGGAATGAAGTATACAAAGTGATGCAAAGCAATGGACTGAATCCAAGAATACTCTATCCAGCAAGGCTATCATTCATAATTGAAGGTGAAATCAGGAGCTTCGCAGACAAAAATAGGCTCAGGGAGTTTATTGCCACCAAGCCAGTAATGCAAGAAATGCTAAAGGGACTGTTTTAAGAAGAAGAAATAGAAAGGGAAGAAGGGACACAGGCACAAAGAATAAAAATGGCAACAAAACTAATACCTATCAATAATAACCTAAAACGTAAATGGATTAAATGCTCCAATCAAAAGACAGGGTGGCTAAATGGATATGAAAACATGACCCGTATGTATGCTGTCTATAAGAGACCCACCTCACAACAAAGGATTCACACAGACTGAAAGTTGAACAATGCGGAAAAAAATTTTCAGGCAAATGGAAATGAAAAAAAAATCTGGTATAGCAATACTTATAACTGACAAAATAGACCTCAAAGTGAAGTCTCTAACAAGAGGTAAGGAAGGCCACTTCATAATACTAAAGGGATTGATAAAACAAGAGGATATAACTCTGGTAAACATATATGTACCCAATACATATATGTACCAGAATACAAAAAACAACTCCTGGAAGATATCAAGGGAGAGAATGACAATAATATAATCATAGTAGGGTACTTTAATCGTTGACATCACTGGATAAATCTAGAAGAAGAAAAAATCAAACAGCAATCCTAAATGACTCACTAAACCAGATGGAATTGACATATTCAGAACATTTCAAAGCATTGGAATATACATTCTTCTTAAGTGCACACGGGACATTTTCAAGGAGGTAGAAGACCTATATTCGGAAAATACAGGACATTGATAAAAGGGATAGAGGAAGAAATAAAGAAATGGAAGGATATACCGTGTTCATGGATTTGTAGAATCAACATCATTAAAATGTCCACGCTACACAAAGCAATCTATAGATTCATCACAATCCCTATTAAAATACCAACGGCATATTTCACAGACCTAAAACAAACTCCAAAAATTCATCTGGAATAAAAAAAGACCCCCAAATAGCCACAGCATTCCTAAGAAAGAAGAACAAAGTTGAAGGGATCACAATATCAGATATCAAGCTACATTACAAAGCCACTGTTCTCAAAACTGCCTGGTACTGGCACAAGAACAGACATAGACCAATGGAACAAAACAGAGAACCCAGAAATCAAGCCAAACCATTATGCTCAATATTTGAGAAAGGATGTGAGCACATACAATGGAGTCAACTCAGTCTTTTCAATAAATGGTGTTGGGAAAATTGGACAGATACATGTAAATAACTGAAAATAAGCCATCAACTTACACCATAAACACAAATAAACTCAAAATGGATAAAGGACTTAAACATAAGACAGGAAACCATAAAAATCTTAGAAGAATCCATAGGCAGCAAAATATCAGATATAGCTCATAACAATATGTTCACCGACACATCTCCTAGGACAATGGAAACTAAAGAGAAAATAAACAAAAGGGAATACATCAAAATAAAAAATTTCAGCACAGCAAAAAAACCCCATCAACTAAATAACAAGAGCCAGTGCATGGGAGAACATGTTTGCCAATGTGATGACTGATAAGGGTTGAATCTCCGAAATTTACAGGGAACTTCATACAACTTAACTAAAGGAAGATAACCTAATCAAAAAATGAGCAAAGTACCTAAAATAGATACTTCTCTAATGTGGACATACAGTAGGCCAAGAGGTATATGAAAAAATGCTCAAAGGCACTAATTATCCAAGAAATGCAAATAAAAATGACAATGAGGTACTACCTTACATGAGTCAGAATGGCTATCATCAACAAATCAACTAAGGACAAGTGCTGGCAAGGATGTGGAGAAAAGGGAACTCTTGTACACTGTTGGTGGGAATGCAGATTGGTGCAATCACTATGTAAAACAGTATGGAGTTTCCTCAGAAAATTAAAAATGGAACTCCCATTTAACCCAGTAATCCCACTTCTAGGATTATATCCCAAGATTTCAGTAACACCAATCAAAAAGAAGATATGCACTCCTGTGTTCATAGCACAATTCACCATAGCTAAGATTTGGAAACAACATAAGTGCCCATCAGGAGATGAGTGTATTAAAAACTGGTACATCAACATAATGGAATACTATGCTGTTGTAAAAAAGAAAGAACTTACCATTTACAACATCATGGATGGACCTCAAGAGCATTATGCTAAGCAAAATAACCCAGTCAGAGAAATAATGAACAACATAAACTGATCTAGAGACAGAATCTAACAGACTATCAAATCTCAGAGGGAGGGCCTGCGGGTGAGAGGGGAGTTGTGGGTAAGAAATCAACGGAAGAACTTGTATGCATATAAGCATAACCAATGGACACAGGGAGGCGGGCAATGAAGGCTGGGCCTGGGGGTCAGGGGTAGGCTGGTAGAGGGCAATGGGGGGTAAAGGGAGACACATGTAATACTTTCAACAATAAAGAATTAAAAAAAAAAAACACCTTTAACCAATTAAAAGAACAGGTTTTTGTTAACATTCCAGCCTCTAAGTCATTAGATTGCACGATTAGGTCTAGAGTGGTTTCAGTCCTGAGAGAGCCACAGAAGTAAAAAAAGTGGGAGC